AAGGGACCGTGGGCTTTCATATGGGGCTGGGTTCAGAGAATAAAGTGACTCTTTTGCCACTAGGTAGTTAGAATGTTAAGGAGAGGAGATAAGGATAGAAATGGAAGAGTCCTCATAAGCAATGAAGGACCGGTAGGGACACTCTTTTAAGTTTGTGATTTACTTTAGATTTAATTTTTTTTTCTTTTTTCTTTACTTTTATGTTTCCTTATTGCAAGCTCAAATTGAGAAATGAAATCATAATAGGACCCACAGAATCAATTTTTTTGAATATGAAGAAATAAAAAATAAATTAGATACCGAAATATGAATAATTATAAGTACAAAAATATTCTCACTTACCAAAAGGAAATCGTTAATATCATTATATAGATCTATTAAATTTAAAAGATGAAAAAAAAAACTTTCATGTTCTCCAGTGTCGTGACACTTTCTTCAATAGTATCTTTCGTTGCATTGTTCATCTCATCTTCATCACCACCATTATATTCATTAGTGAAGTTGTTTTTAATACGAATTGCATCCGTAGATTAAAAGAAAAATTAAGCATTATTTATTACAAACTAAAATTCGACGTCAATGAATACCTCTTACTTTCTTGCAATCAAAGAAGCAGAGATTAGTGACCTTTCTCCACAGTTATGACTTATTTAATTATAAAATCCTATGATAATTGGAAGTTTAAAGTATACAAGATAATTACATTCCTAATTTTTTGAGTAATTAAGTTTTTTTTATTTGGAAACAATATTCACATAATCTTTTTCTTTGGGTGGAGAATAATATTCACTATTTTAAAAGTTGCAACCGAGTTCTTCATATATTTTTTAGGGCCGCGCTTTTTTCACTCCTTTTTTAGCTTAGACACTCTTTTTTTTTTGTATTTTGACGACAGCATCCTTAATGGGGCTTACCACTTTTGGTACAGCTCTACAAAAGTGATCATTTTTTATTATTTGGTCAACTTTTTTTGTCTTCTTTTATTTCTTGCGGTCTCACTTTTTTTCTTTTGTTTTTCTTTTCATGCTTATGACTTCTCAGTTCTCCGCTTTTGCAAATTGTCTCTTTCTCTCTTATAGGCTATTATCTTCTTTCTACGCCTCCCACTCCTCCTCCTTCTTCTTCCAGACATCCCGTCGTCCTCTGTTTTCTATCTATGATGTCAACTCCATCATCCTCCACACTTTCAATTATAAAAGAAGCACTAGTTGTCTCTACCATAAAATGGGAAAAATAGCATTAGAGAAAAAAACAATAACCCCATAAAAACATGAATTTCAATTCTAATAAAAATTGGGCAATCAACTACAAAATGATTAATTCTAATCAATCACTTTTGTAAAATTAGTTTTGTTGAAAATAACATTTTCTAAGAAACTTAATTCTTTTCTGTGTTGTTAAGTAAAATATAGAAAAATTTTAACATAAACACTTCTTTAACAATATCACTTATTTATGAACTTCTACTTTTGTTGTGTATATCACTTGTTTACTCAACAAAACTTATTTATACGGAAGTAAAATCCAAAAATAAAAAGGAAAACATTGTGCCTTTAATATATATATACGGATTACCCACAATAAATAAATAAAAAACATGAATTGCATAACTATGGTAACTGGATCCTAAATTGAGAATGAAATAAAATAAAATAATGAAAGTAAATTGATTTGGGGCCACACTTTAAATTGCAATTAAATCATTGATGATAATTTTGTCTTTTCATTGGAAAATGGAGTGGATTAGTCGTATAAGGGGTGAAAATAGCGGTGCCCTTTTTATAGTTTGAATATTTATTTTAAATAAGACAAGAAAGTTTGTTTAGTAAATCTTCGTATGAATGATTATAGACAATCGAACCTTGTTCGAATATTTCCTCAACAGATTTGATCGTGACCTGTTTTGGAATGTCTTTTTATATAATAAAAATGGGAAACCCATAAAGTAAATCTCCCATTTTGAAGATGGAAAATGTGTGACTAAGGTGTGCCGTTACTATTCAAAGTTAACGGCACATTATCTAAGCATTTCCCTAAGCATTTCCCTAGATTCAATACTCCTTATGTGCTTCATTTTCAATCCAGGTTTGCAACAGTGTTCAGCCGTGACTCTTACTCTATGCCAAGAGTTTAGACAACAATGGGAGATATTCGAGCAACCTTGCTTGCTTATGGATCTTTTACTGAAATGATTCAATGATACTTGCAGTCATTACGGTTGCTGTATGTAATGGCGGCAACACATTTGGATGATGGGGGCAATCAGTTCCCGCATAATGTGACATTGTACACATTGCACATGGTTAACATCCTGCACCATCAAAACACAAGTATAGTATACATGTATTTGACAATGATGTCAGGAGTGAATTACCAGAGGGTTGACCTTTTGGGGTTTTATTGGAGAAAATTTAACTAATACAATGGTTTTGGGAAATAAATCTAAGACAAATGTTTTTTTTTGGTCAAAAATCTAAGACAAATGTTGACTCACTAGAAAAGTACACAAAAAAATTAGACTCAAATTTTGATTGTGCATTTTTTTTATGTTCAATTGACATGATTTTTGCACCTACAAAAAGCTTATTATTCGAACTTTTCAAAATAAGTTACTTTTGGAGAATTAATAGATAGGATGATTTTGGGAAAAAGATATAAATAACTCACAAGCAAAAAAATTAAGATGTTTTTTTTTTATTTTAAACTTTATCAGCACTGTTTACATCTTTTGGAATTTTTAGGAAGCGACGAGGGCTATCAACCTGTCGTGACTTGGGTGGTCTATCTTGACAACGATGTCGGGAATGAATTGCCAGAGGGTTGACCTTTTGGGTTCTATAGGAGAAAATTTAACTAATACAATGGTTTTGCGAAATAAATCTAAAGAACATATAAGAAGAAAATTTATGATATTTTTATGTTTTAAATCTAGTCGGATGTTCACTCACTAGAAAGCATGTGCATTATATTTGTAGTTAAAATTAAGAATCAAATCTTACAAGAAAAAATTAGATCAGAATTTTGATTGTGTATAATTTTTTCTTTATGTTCAATTGACACGATTTTTGCATCTACAAAAAACTTATTATTCGAACTTTTCAAAATAAGTTACTTTTGAAGAATTAATAGATAGAATGATTTTGGGAAAAAGATATAAAGAACACATAAGCAAAAAAGTTAAGATATTTTTCTTATTTTAAATTTTATAAGCACGTTTATGAATGTGCATAATTTTTCTATTGAACTAACCAATCTTCGGTTTTCATCATGTTAGTGATATTTTGCATTAACAGGACTTTTGGGATATTATTGAAGATAACTTAATGGAATTTCCCAGCACAATGGATATACTTCTTGATGAGCGAGATCGGTGACTATTCTCTTTTGGTATAACTTGTCGATCCACAACCATTGAGATTGGATGATTTATTTGATACAAAGCAGCAATTGAGATTAGTTGGTTTTTGGCAATGATGTCGGGAGTGAATTACTAGGGTTAACCTTTTGGATACTATTAGAGAAAATTTAACCGATACAATAGTTTTGGGAAATAAATCTAAATAACACGCAAGGAGAAGAGGTATGATATTTTCATGTTTTAATTCTTATTGAGAAGGATGTTGACTCACTAGAAAGCATGTGTATAATATTTGTAGTTAAAATTAAGAATCAAATCTTGCAAAAAAATATTAGACCCAAATTTTGATTATTCATAATTTTTTTAATGTTCACTTGACTCGATTTTTACATCTATGAAAAGCTTATTATTCGGACTTTCCAAAATAAGTTACTTTGTGGAGAAATAATAGATACGACAATTTTTGGGAAAAAGATATAAAGAACCCAAGAAAAAAATTTAAGATATTTTTCTTATTTAAAATTTTATTAGCACGGTTTAAGAATGTGAATAATTTTTTTATTGAATTAATTCATTGAACTAACTAATCTTCGGTTTTCGTCGCGGTAGTGATAACTCTGTTTTTCTGCATTAGCAGGACTTTTGGGATATTATTGAAGATAATGAAATGGAATCTCCCAGCATAATATATATACTTTTTGATGAGCGAGATGGGTAGGTATTCTCTTTATTGGAGTAGATCTGTCCTCATAGAGAGGGTATGAATACTATATTGAGGCCTCATTTGTCTGTTAGGTACATGTTCTCCAAATTGCAAAGTGCTGCCACAATATATAGTTCAATATATAGTTTAGACGTACATCATGTGGCAAGCTATTCCAACTACATGCAACCGATAGAGCCAAATGAGACAAAAATTTAAGGGGAAAAAAGTTTAGACGTACATCATGATAATTTAATGTGATTTACCCTATGTTAAGCGAATCCCAAATCCGCATGTACAAAACAAAAAAGTTTTTAGTGAGTCCATCGATTTTGAACTAACACTGGTGAAAGCATTAGCATTGTAACGCATAGAAGATGCAATAGGTAGGCACGTGAATTGCCGGTGAGTACATGGATGTCCATTTACCAGCCACCTAGATGCATCAGTCATCATTTGCACTATTGATATCACGGGTGGTTGCAGATATACAATAGATTAGACGTACACCAATGCATCCAAATACATAGTTTGAAGCTCTAGTCAGTTTGGGTCAATCTACACTTTGAAGGACTGATGATATGTTGCTTCTTGGCTTCCTTCACCTCTAGTCATACTTTACGATAGAGGAAAAATAGGCGCGGCTGATGAAAACAGGTTCATTACCATTACCGCATCAAAATTGAATGAATTTATCATTTACACCGTCTTCTCTTATGTCAATTTATACAAAAATAATAAGATATTTATGTCGTAATATAATGTTTTGCTCTCTTTTCCCTTACCAATATCCAAACAATATTATATCCCAACCTTTGAAATCCTTTTATCTTCTTTTCTCTAGTAATTAGATGAATCCCTTTTTTCTTTCTTAAATATTTATCTTTTTTATTTTTTATGATGGAATGAAAATGTCATATCATCTCAGTCATGCATTGATTGAACCAGAAAAATAGCATAAGTCAACTACAGTACTAATAGATATGTATCATCAAAGTAGGAAATCCAGCTACAATAATTCCAATTCGCAGTTGATCTGTAGCCTTTTCCACTCTCTATATACAAAATTGACAACAACAAGATCAGATGCTCGTTATTTCTTTGTACTTTGAAAATTGAGAAGAGTTTTCCCAATTGACGGACAATTAAAGGGTCTTACTAAATTTTTCTACATCTTAACGACATGTAAAATGCGTCGAGAATTTTTCGTAGCCCTGCGCTCCCCCACCTCATTTCGATGATCCTTCAGCTTCTTACCCTCGACTCTCCTCCGATCAAAATTTTAGGATGCTCATGAAACCGTCCTCCCATAACAGACCGATGCTAAATAGAGATTCTTTGCCCATTTCTCCTGCATGGGCACTCGATCATGTTAGCAAATAGGGTAAAGAAGAATGTCTTAAAACATGGTGAGAGATGTGAAGGTTTCGAGACAAGGCACCTTGACATGTGTACTCGGAAAAGCGGAAGTTCGAAGAGTCTCCTGGGTCTCATCTGTGGGTTTTCTCCTTGGTATACTGAGAACGAATGCAGCCTGGTCCCACGTCGCAGCTGTTGCTGTTATACGATATCCAGAGTCCCATCGCCGATGAATACCCTCGCTGGGATACAGGAAATCTAGTTCGACCACCTGCATAAAAAATGGCTGTATTAGCTACTTATGCATGTGTAAAATAAGAAGAAGAATATTTCACCGTTTACAAGACCTGATCTGAATATCCGGCACCGCGAGACATAACTATTGCCCATCTACTACCAGCTGTACCCATAGATGTCACGTAGAAACCCTCCTTCCACTTTTTGTTGATCCACTTGAATGGGAATGAATCGCTTACTTTGTAGGACTGCTGCAGATACTGTGTACCTGGTGCCAGCAAATTAAATCTTTCATCAAACATTCAAATAGGTATAAACATACGAGACTAATATTAAGAACCATATACCTTTTGACATCACCACCAAAGAACTCCCATTGGCAGATCCCCCTATCGCACTGATATAGTAGTTCTTTTCCCATTGCTCCATTATCCATTCCTAAAACAGAAAAGCATGGTAAGCAAATTTTTCAGATAACCAATGAGATTGCACTTCTGTGCAAGAGAATAAAGAGAGATGGGAACAGAAATCTGGAAAGGGAGGGACAGAAATATCTACAAGAAAGAGCTATACCTTGTGAAGAAAAAAAGACGAAAATTCATAAACTTGTGAAGTAAACCCAGTGCCGGCATCCATAATTAGGGCCCAGAGGTTTTGGCAGGAGGCAACACTACTGATAAATAAGCCATCTTCATTTCCTTTGTCAATGTGCTGGCTGAGCCTGTTGTCTGCGACATTGTAGTGATACCTAAAGAGAATGGTTAAACTCTCAACCTCAAAAATGTAAATACAATTACTTGAAAGGTCGATATGTTTTCCACAAATAACTAGAGCAAATAAAAATAAAATGAAACAGGGCAGAGATGAATCAATCAAAGAAATCTAAAACGAGACATTGAGCCACAGGAAAAGTTGAAATTTTTAAGTGAGCATATCCACTACCTCTGCTTCATAGGACGCCGCGCATTATAAACACTAATCCATTGAGTAGCTGGCATACCCAATCGGACCTTCTTCTTCGGCTGTCCATCTTCGTCTTCATCCTCCTCCATGGTCAACCGTCCTCTCTTCTGACCCACTTGAGTTACAAGCTTCACAACAGACAGTTAAGTCAGATAATACATATATATATAGATAGATAGAGAGAGAGAGAGAGAGAGAGAGAGAGAGAGAGAAGCAGAACAAGACACTTGAAAGAACAATGAACAGGCTAAAATATGTGGATTAAGTTGAACCAAGAACTTTAACCACCTTTTGAGCACCCTCTGTATTGATCGGTCTGACATCTGGATTTGGTGCAATGATCCCATCGAAGAGAGAAATGTATCTAGCATATTTTGGTTCTTCATCAAACTTCAAGTTAACCACATGTTCAACAAACTGTCGGAATGGCACCGGGCAGAAGCAACAGAGAGTCTCTGGAGATGTTGCCATCTTCTTCTTGCAAACAAGGAAGCCTTTATTCTCTCCCTAAAATGCAACACCAGAATCACCTCTATTGTCAAACTCAAAGAGGGGCAAATTGCTATCAGCCAGAAACAGAGAGACAAACCTGATATCCTTGCCACGGCAAACGACCTCTAAGGAGGAAAATCAGAGTGTAGGCAAGAGATTCGAGATCATCTCTCCTACTTGCAGTTCTACCTAAATGAGCATGCACACTAGCATAGCGCACAGTTCCCCTGCCAAGAAGACACCATCGAAGTAAGTAGCAATTGGGAACACACTTAGAGATCTAAAGGGCTTGATAGACAAAGCTACATCAATTCATCTTATCCCCACACTCAATTGTTCCCCAAGTACCTGAAAACATCTGGTCTTTGGTCATACTCTACATGCAGACCAGTTGAATTATCGCGCCATCTTGTAGCTAATAGACCAAAATAATATTATACATTAGCCAGTTATAGAACACTGACGGAACGATAAAATTCAGAAAATGAGCATTCAAGAAGGTACCTAATCCAAGATCAACTAGGAATAGCTTCTTCTCATCAGGAGTTCCGGGAGTACCAAGCAGAAAATTCTCAGGTTTTACATCACCATGAATGTACCTGGAAGTTGGAGAGATAATACTTTTGAGTCAAAATATGAGACCACCATAATATAAGGGTATTGGCGGAAAAAAAAGATTCTCGAAAATACATAATCCAAAACTAAAGAGGCAAAAGGCTGGTGTTTCGCGGCAGATTATTCAGGATAAGTTGTTGTTAATCCTCTACAGGCTAAATCAGATCAGACAGGAGAAAGGAACTGATCCCTGACATTATCCACATTTAGTAGCTGACAAAAATATCTATTCATGACAATGGAGTGAAACTCAAAACCAAATACGCAATGCTTGATCACTCGTCCACGTGAACTCATGAAGCGTCAATGGGAGCAATTAACACAGGAGAAAATCTCATTCATACATACTAAAAGCAACAATCATAATGTTGGCGACAAAACGCTTACCCTCTTGTGTGCAACTTCTCCAATATGGATATTGCTTCAATGGCTATGCATGCTACCATTTCAGTGGACATTCTAGAGTCAAAGATACAATCAAATTAGCAATTAAAAAGGATTGATTCAAAACAATATATACCATAAGATCATAGGCTAAGTTTAAACAAACTCACGAATGAGAATTATTATTCCACACGTCCCACAAGCTAGGCCCGAGCATATCCATTACCTACAGGCAATCGTTAATATGCTTAGCAAACTATTACAACTTAAAAGATGACAGCAGAAAATATCCGATGCTGCAAACCAAGAAGGAAATAGCAGCATACCATGACATAGAAATCACCCTGTCGACCCTTGTAGTGTACTCTTGGTACACCATGACTACCACCGAGAGTGCTGTGTAAATATGCCAGAAAAAAAAAATTGTGAAGTTTAATAACAGAATGTGATGAAAAGGAGTAATAACATAATAGGACAAGGATACTTACTTGTAGACTTGCCATTCATGAGGGGGGCCGTAGCTGCATCCTTTGCTGCTTCTATGCTCAAATTTCAATGCCACCTGTGAAAAAAAAAAATGTTGACTGAATAATAAGAAGAAGATATGCACAGAATAGCAATCAAAACTGGAGCAACATACGCACCTCTACAGCTCCAGGCCCAGTAGTAATATCACTTGAACTTCCAGCAGAAACACGTCGGCCAACATAGACTTGGCCAAAACCACCTTTTCCCAATTTTCTGTCTATTCTGTAAACTGGGGAACCACCAACTTGGACCTGAGATAGAATTTATGAATGCTTTCAATAGAAAATACATAAATAGTGCATGCGCACAGTGCTCCCCAGAATTAGAACTGATGCCATAGAAACTACCAACTCATACATAGACAAAGGTCCACTATCAGGAAGTGACGGTGTTAAATGTAGCCAATTCTACCATTTGCAAATTTTAATCACCATGCTGAACAGATAAAAAGTTGATCCTATCACGTAACAAAATTTATAACCAGTCATATCATTAACGATCGGATATTACCATCAATTACCGAGTATTCCCGGCAAAATTTGATCAACCTAGCCGTCTATCATTCAACAGCAACAATCTACATTGACCGTATGCAGAAGACACAGCATCAAGTATCACATTCATAGCAATAAGAAACGGGTAACCGCCGGCACTCTGCTGAAAACAAAAGCTCTGGATAATCTCACATAGAAAGCTAATTCGCAAGTATACCTTCTCGGGAAGCGGAGCAGTGCTTCCTTCCTCCTCAGCCGCATGTGCCTTCCCAGCACTTCGCCCCCTGCTATTGAACTCATCCATTGGCTTCTCACCCACCTCCTCCTTCTCTTCTCCACCACCACCACCACCACCACCGGCGGGTCTCAACCCCACTTCCAACAACCTATTATGCTGTCCCTCCTCCTCCGCAACCACGGTAGCTAAATTCTCGGCAGCAGCTCCCTTCGCCTGCCGGGTGTTCTTCTTCGGTTGCGCGACCGCAGCCGCCGCCGCCGCCGCCCGCCGCCTCCTCGTCCGCGTGGCGATCCCCTCGTCGGCCTCAAAGTTCTGCTGGTTCTCCGCTGCCCGGCCCTTGGACACGCCGCCACGCAGTACCGGCATCTTTCATTCTCAGATTCTCATACCTCCGATGGTCTCGTCCAAAGACAAAGAAGGCACTAAAGTTCGGGTTTTTCTCCCCCCCTCCCCCTTTCAACTCCCTTCGACAACCGACACAACCCAGAAGAGCGCCAATCGGAGGTGGGGGAAAAGGAAGAGACTTTACAGCGAATTCGCGTCGAAAGAGCGCAACTTTCGATCGGCCCGGCAATCGATCGAGCTGGAAGAGACCCAAAATCAAGTGGGGAAAACAGGCAAACAACCACTGAGTTCCGACGCGAAACAGACCGGCGACGTACCGGGAAAACCGAAATCGACGACCGATCACGGCGATTGCTTACCTTTTTCCCGCCGGAGAAGGAGGAATCCGGAGCCGATGAGAGCTTTGAACGTCGATTGGGGTTTCGGAGATTGGGAATTGTCTGGGATTTTTCAAAGAAGAGAGAGAGAGAGAGAGAGAGAGAATTTCTTTTTTGTTTTTCTTTTTGGAATTTTTATGATGAGAGAGAGAGAGAGAGAGGGAGGGAATATTTTAGTTTTTCACAAATTGGAGTCACGAGGGAATGTCCAAATTAAGGGAAATGTCCACGTGGATCGTTCATGGCCGTCGGATGACAGGTTGTCTTCACATAACCTAGCACCTCAAGGCCAATGATTTCTAACATCAAGATAGACCTTGTGTTTTCATCGATCTTCAAAAGTAGATCACATTACCTTTTGTTGCAACATGATTGTCCTGAGAAACGATTATTACGGATCAAAGCTTGAGAGTTTTCCAACACGTGAGGTGAGCAACGACACGATCGACGAAGAAAATAACTTGCCGAGATCATGTTTGCTATCAATACACATGCAAATTTTAAATGTTGCCGGGTCATTATATCTCTAGAAGTTGATTATAAACACATTTGTCGCTCGATGTAACTGAGATATGGAGTTAACCACCCAATTGAGCAAATTTAATCACTTTTTCTTATGACGATTTCTAAAGATGATTCAAAGACACTCTTACATGAACTTATCTTGAAGATGCAAACCCGTGTAAGTCAAGGAAGTGATTAGATCGCTAATCTCACGTGCTTAATCATAAACAAATACAGCGTTTGGTCATGTTTTAGTCTATTCAGAGCATATTCATTCTCCACAAACATATTCAGCGTCGGTTACAAGTCAGGAGGATTATCGCTATTGTCCCTGAATGACAGCAGACATGGATAAGGTTTCATCTGATCTGAAAACCCACCCTGTCAAATAACAAAGTGAAAATCTTTCTACTGTCCTGAAAATTCGCCATTTGGAGTTCTTATCCCATCTCATCCGATGTTATCTTTTTTATCTTGATCCTACCTGGTCAAGAACTGAACAAAACCTATAAATAGAGGTCGCCTTTCCTATTTATACGTTGCCCTTCGCCTTTGAACTTTGCTTCATCAGAATCAAAGCTTCTAGAAAAGAGGGAGAAGGAAAGGTCTTTACTACTGTTGCGGGCATGAAGTAAGGAGGAGTTACGTGACAGAGCCGTCTCTTTGGAGTTTCCAAAGTCCAAACCCCTGTTCTTGACGTTCAACGCCTTTGACAAGTTCTCCTCCTTTGCCTTCGGACGAATAGTTTCTGCGACTCTCGGAATCAGATATCCCTCTGCACATATTCAGAAAGGAGAGAACTTTCCGGGCCTTTGCTTGTTTCTCTCAAAAGGGTTCTTCTCTTTGAGCTCTGCTTCATCGCTTCTGTGGACAAAAAGGGCATCCGTATCCAGGTAATCCCATGTTAGTCGTCACCTTCTTTAGGTGAATTTTCGCCTGTAATTGGACAGATCAGTCGCTGCAGAATAAGGTTCTGGTTTATTTCATATTCATCATGTTGTCTTTTTGCTCTTTCCGGCGTTTAAAAGGTAGAAAATGCTCTGAAGTCTATCTGTTCTGTTAGCTTTTCGAACATCATATATCATGGCTCTGCAATCTATAATCAGCTGTGACCATTTGAGAGAGAGAGAGAGAGAGAGAGAGAGAGCATTCAAGCATGCCGGTGTATTATCAAGTTCATCATCACAAGGTCAGACCATTAGATAGGACTGTATGAGCAGGTCCTATTAAGTATGTTCTGCATTGATTTTTGTTAAGCTAGGAACAGATTTATCTTATGGTAGGCACGACAAGTTTTGGCTAGTGTCCTAGTGATGAATTCAGTTGATACTAATAATGTTCAAATGAGATTAAGAAGTTGTCTCCCATGTTTGTGATTGTTTTTTGACTCATCTGTTTATCAACTCTCTTTTTTCTGCCCATCAAGTCATGTTTGACTTCAATTTGCCTGGAATATGCCTCTGTTTCCAGTGATCCGATTCAAATTCGAAGGAACGGAACATGATGGCTAACCAATCCGGCGGCAACAATCACGGACAAAGGACGACACGGTCTATGAGAGTATTCCAATTCGCTTCGGCCATGGCATTCAGCATCTGGCTGCTTTTTCAGATCAATCATCAATTCGACAATCAAAGACATCGCCAGAACGAGGAGAACATAAGCATCCAGGACTCGGGGGCGCTTCTTTTAGGCCGTAAGGTGAATCTCGGTTTCATGGCGGGAGGTCTTGTACAACATAAAGAGGAGCGCCCTTACCACGGCGACAATGATAGAGCTGGCTATAGTGAAAAGACAGAGAAGCTGATGAGAGAGGCAAAGGAGGGTCTGATTGGTGAAGACAGCGTCGGTTTTGCGTTGATTGTAGAAAAAACCGGCGATGGCAAAGTTCAAGATGGAGGGGTGGCGACTTATGAAGGCAATGTGTTTGAAGATGAGAATGGGGTACCGCCCGATGTGAGCGGTGTGTATATGATGAAATCTGAAGACGACATTCAAAATGCGTCTGCAAGACTGGGTACGCTATGACATCTTGCCACGAGAAATCGGCTGAAACGAGACGATTCATCGCAGAAACAAACAGCGGACTCCGGAGATGATCTTCGCGATATCTCCAGATGCCGAAAATAATCTCTAACGGGAATGCGTCTCGATAAGTCGGTATTGTAATGAGAAGTTTTTAGAGATAGAGAGGTTGTAACTCAAACGGCCAAAAGTTCCCTTCACCACAACCTTCTTCTTTTTGACATTATGGAAGTTGTATTGTGAATATATGGAGACTGTAATGGAAGAAATAAGCATACATGTGCAAACTCAAAAGCATCCAGATCAATTCAAAATAACACCAACATATGAATACAGCAGGGATGCACATAGAGCTCGAAACCGATCCGGCTATAAACAAATCATAATTTAAGTCGACCACGTTACTGCGAGCCGAACATGAACGGAAATGACTCGAAGAAGGACTAATAATCAATCAGACACCCTACTATTGAACATGGCCGGCCTCTGCAATTCTTTTCTGAATGTGGAGTTGCTTCCCGAAAATTCTGCGTAATGATGATCCTGTGGAATTTCAATTGGGCCTAGAGTCATAAAGAGCCCGGCACCGGCTTGAAACCGGGCCGCCTTCTTTGAGAAACCCAATTCTCATATCCTGAAGATTGATCGGGTCAAACCGGCCCGATATTAATTTTCTGGTTTTCCTTTTTTTATTTTTTTTTATTTGGGGGTAAATCCAAAATGAGTAAATAATTGTCAATGTGTTTCCATTTGGTCATTGAAACTTGGGGCAAGTCCACTGGACACACAACGTGCGCGCACACACGATCCCCGGAATCATGTCCAGCTAAGGTTGTTCGAATAGCATGGTTGAAAATAGGAACTCCGGTCCAAACACGTAAGTGCATGTCATGTGTCAAGTCCAACAATCCTTTCAATAAGAAGAAGGAAAATTCATGAGCAAAAATTAGATTATTTTGTTTCCTCAGTTATATGTTAGTCAAAGCGATCGTCGAAGCTTGATTACATTTGAAAGTGTCTAATATCTCGTCAAAGCTTGATTAGTTTACATAGAATTGATACTAAGGCGCGAAATTTAGGATCCAAGACATGAGAAAAGACATTTTCTCTGAAATTCCATGTGTATCAGACAGCTATATTTTTATGATGAAAATTTTGCATCAACAGTGAGGAGGGGGCCGTAGCCCACCCACAACTCGAACTCATCAGAGGTCGAGCTCGTAATAGTCTAGTATATAGTTCGGAATATGGGAAGAACGTCTATCAAATTTTTTTTTTGTTCAAGGGAAAAACTTTTCCAATTCACTATAGAATCATTACGCTCTCCACTAATTCTCACTCGTGCCTGCCTAATCATATTAGATATTTTCGAGGACCTAAATAACTTAAGTAGCTCTTCACGCCTAATAAAAAAAAGAAAAAAAAAACTTAAGTAGCTCTTGACTTTAGTTATCTAGAGCGCTATTAGCTCGGGCCGGGCCTCGGTCTACTGAGAGAGTGCATTGCACACTGGGCGACTCACGATATCTCCATGACCAAAAAACAAAAAAAAAAAAAATAAATAACGATAACGATATCACGTGATGGTCACGTGAGCCCCGAGCACGTGCGCCCATGTTCGAGCAAAACATGGGGAGCACAACGCACGTGCGAGGAACCACGAACGGAAAGCGGGCAACCCCGCCCCAATCGGGCTGCCGACACGCGGAGTTGACCGGACCCCCGCGGGGGGGCTTTTCGGTCTTTTCAGCTCCCTTGATTATTTTCTTTTTCCTTTTTCCGCTTTTTTTTTTCCCCCTTTCCTTTTTGAGGGCTTAAAAAAAAACAAAACGAACCTAAAAATCACATGATCGCTGACACCACCTCCACCTTCGTCACGTGCTGGGTGGGCCCCACGACCCCCTTCCCCACCCCCCCGGGTCCTTTCGAACGAAATATTTCCACGGGAAAAGTTAATGAATGCCGGGAAAAAAAGAATTATTTTATAAAAAAAAAAAAGATATCATGTTTGGGCGACTTTCCTTCTACCTTCACTCCGGAAATTAAGAAATTAATATAATAATTAATGGGGGGTTGATTAGGGTAATGAGTAAAATTTTAATTCTAAAATAACATTATCCAATTACCGGTTGTCAATTAAACCTCGGGATCAGCGCATGTGTTATCTCTTCCTCCTATGATTGGTCCCCATCGCAAATAGCCCTCATCTTATGGTTCAATTCAAATAATACGAAATTAAATTATAATATTGACCATAACTACTACGGTATAAAGATAAGCTTGGTCGTTCACTTTACATCTCTCTCTCATTGGAGTAAGACAATGTCAATGGGTACAAATCAAAACAATGCCAATGGTGTATGTTCGCTCATAATAACCGCATAATTTTTTTATATATTTTGTAATAGAGAAACTTTACCGTGAACATGCGAAAGATTGGTTTCAAAGACATCTAAATCTCTCCCCACATGGGGCATTTAATTGTAAATGCATCGAAATAGAAATGGTTTCTCGATTTAATTGGTACCTCTAATCTATTGATGAAAGAGACTTGTAAGGAGAAATAAATTGCAAGTTATGGCTGTCGTGTTAGCTTCATCTATATCGTCCACGAAGAACTATGTTGCACGTGTCGTAAGTTAACAAGATAAGATATTATTTGAACTATATTAATCCAGAGAAACAGTATATTTCCCCACATATACCATGAATTTCTTGTTATGTCCCATTATTCATTTTCATTTCTTATACTTTATCACAAGGAAGGACAAAACATTTACTATGGTTTGAAATTTATCAATATTAATAACCATTCGACATCAAAATCTAAACATTCACATGGACTTTTTTTTTTTTTTTGGTAACCCAGGGAACCCCCGCACGGCTGACAGCCGGGGAGTAAACCCTGGGGGCGACACGTGCTAGCCACCACACACGTGCCACCGGTTAAGTCACCCTGCGGCGCCCGGGATTCGAACACTCAACCTTTTGCGAGAGGAAGAGTGCGCGCTCCAGCAGCGCCACCTAGGCGGGTGGTAACATTCACATGGACTTTTCGCGCACTCTAAAACTAAAATCACGAAAGTTGCACCCAAATTTTTTTTTCTTTTTTTCTTTTTCACTCCATTTTTTTACTCATCCCAAAAGCGAAGATTCCTGGGATTATCGATGAGTAATTCTTGCAAGAGCGCAAAAAAAGAAAAAAACAGAAAAGAGATTAAGAATCTCCACACACCCACGGAGCCACGTGGATGAGATCATGACCGTTGTTTTTAACTAAATTTTTTTTTTTGCCTTTTAATTAACCGAGTCGAGCTGTAAGTATCGTGCCTAAACGTGGGCAAGAGAATATAATAAGCGCCATGATTGGGCCAAAGGGGGTCAGAAGAGCCTGAAGAGGTACAGTTAATCAAGTAATTATTATTAAAAAAAAAGTAATTATTTTCTCCCCATTTATTATTTACTATAATAAATATTTATCAGAGACAGTGGCGAATTTTATAAAAATAAATAAATAATAAATAAATAAATAATTAGCGCACGAGCCCCGAGACGGAAAATTCTTTTCTAAATTCGTGGGAGCAGCAGAGGAATCCGGCTGTAAACTTGGACGGAAATGGAGGAGGAGGAACCCCCCTAGCGACAAAACCTGCTGGATCGATTCTTTAGGGGTTGAATTTGAAACCCACCCTTCCTTTTTCTTCTTTTTTTTCACATTTATAAATATCCGTAAATGATTTGTGATTAATTACCCTGCATTAACTCTTAATCACATCATCAATGGCTAGCTTTACTGGAGGCTGATGATGATGGTGATGATGATGCCTACAGCTCCAAGACTCTCCCATTCATATCTGTAGCCTTTTTGTTTAGCTGCGTTGTTCTGCAGCCCTTTCATGGAGATAGCTGCTGCTGCTGCGGGCTATTATTGTATGGTGACAGCTTTGCTAATGAGAGCCAGCTAAAATTAATCACCTTTTAAACCACCCCCACAAAGAAAAAGTTGGCGGGCTAAATTTAAACCTCCTCAACTGCTTACGCATATCTTCGGCCACAAAGGGTCTTCCGAAAAACGATAATTGCATGGCAATTATATTGCCCGGGATTATGATTCTCAACGTATCTTTGCTTTTTCGCTCGGTCAATGTATGCCTTGAACACTGGAATCGTAAATAAAATGCATTCTAGTAAGACTTCGCTCTAAATGAATGAATTTAAAATTTCCATTGTTTAGGTTCATGAGTTTTTTGTAATTTAATCGACCGGCGAGCCTGATGTCGCTATTCTTGAGGATCGAACATACTAGACCCAATGGACCGAATCCCTGAACGAGTACTTCGTTTCGCATTCATCAGGATTAGGTTGAGTAGGTCGTTTCGCTAATTATGAACGACTCGTGACGATATCTAGCGGATCAATTAGGGTAAGAGTAGAATAGATAAGAGAGGCTTTTGCTATGGTTTAAAATGCATTTAACCCATTTGACTTGTGGTGAATTAATTGGCCTAATCACCTAAGTAGGGATTCCACCTCAGAATCTCTCACATTACCCTCCCTTTTGCCAACTTGTGACAGAATGAACTCCAATCACATTTAACCCAACAAATCCCCACCCCCACAAAAAAAAAAAAAAGAAAAAAAAAGAGAGAAATTTTGTTTTTAATAATTTTTATTATTCAAATAAAGCCTGTCTCAATAATGATTTTTTCACTTGCCCAAAAAAGGGAAAACAGTTTCTTTAATTAAACTTTTACAGAAACCTGCAAGTCACTCCCCCACCCCCCCTAATTAAACATATTCATATTCACCCCCCACCCCTCTGCCATGCAAGAAGATGGCCCCTCGTTTTCTCGTTATTTACACTTTCGCCCCTCCCTCCCCCTCCTCAAAACCCAACCCGCTCCTCCTCCTCCTCCGCCATCACTCACCATCACAGCTCACCTTCGTTCTCCTCCCTCCCATTCTCTCTCTAAAAAAACTCGCAGGCCCACCTCCCTTTCTCTCTCTACATTCGATCGCCCCGCTGCCCCCTCCGAGGAACGACGCGCTTTTCGCCCGCGGGAAGATGAAGATGGAGGTGTCGGAGTGCTTCGTCGGCGGGGGCTACCCCGGCGAGTTCTCCCCGGAGAAGAAGGGCGGGGAGCAGTTCGCCGTCGACGACCTCCTCGACTTCTCCAACGAGGAGGACGACGCCGCCGCGATGATGGTGGCCGCCGCCGACGGCTTCTTCGACAATGTCGGCGCCAGCTCGGCGGATTCCTCCACCGTCACCACCGCCGTCGACAGCTGCAACTCCTCCGTCTCCTGCGGCGACAACCACCTCTCCGGCAGCTTCGGGTCCCGGAGCTTCGGCGACTCCGGCTTCGCCGGCGAGCTCTGCGTTCCGGTACGGGGGAAAAGCCACGAGCTTTTTGCGCGAAATCGCGAATCGCATTGCCCCATTTGCGAATTCAGACGAATTTTGAGAAAAAAATATGCAACCTTTACGTAACAATTTCCTTCCTTTCGTTTGAATTCACGAGCCGGGATTCTCGCCATGTTCTGCATCTTGATTCTATTTGAATTGAGCTTGCATTCTGCAGGGATTCACGTCTTCATTATGGCCGAAATTAGGCCCAAAAAAAGAAGAAGAACAATCAGAATTGCAACTTCTTTCGATTTTGAAATGAAAAAAAAGTTGGCTTTTTGCAAATAGATTAACAAATGCGACACGATCCCGTAGTTGCAATTTGGAATCTATGAATTGTAATTGTAAGAACATTGCCTGAAAGAACTGAAACAGCGGTGGATCGAGCTTCTTTTCTTAATGATCTTGTCGTTGTTGCAGTACGACGACTTGGCGGAGCTTGAATGGCTGTCGAATTTCGTGGAGGACTCGTTCTCGACTAAGCAGAACCTCCAACAGCCCCTCCACTTCATTCCCGGATCCAAACCGCCCACGCCGGAATCGTCCTGCTCCGACGCCCTGGCCCGGCCCGAGCTCCTCGACCTCAAGCCCGCCGCCAATGCCGACGCCGACGCCGGCCCCCCGATTTTCCTCCCGGAGACGCCCCTCCCCTCCAAGTCCCGGAGCAAGCGGTCCCGCGCAGCCCCTTGCAACTGGACCACCCGCCTCCTCCACCTCTCCCCTGTCAAGCCGCCCAAGACTGCCCCGTCCGTGAAGAAACGGGAGGGCCTCCCGGACGCGGCGAGCCTGGACTCGGCGCCACGGAGATGCCTCCACTGCGCGTCCGAGAAGACCCCCCAGTGGAGGACCGGCCCGATGGGGCCGAAGACGCTGTGCAATGCCTGCGGGGTCCGGTTCAAGTCGGGCCGCCTGGTGCCCGAGTACCGCCCCGCCGCGAGCCCGACCTTCATTTCCACCAAGCACTCGAACTCGCACCGCAAGGTCCTGGAGCTCCGGAGGCAGAAGGACATCCACAGGGCGCATCATCAGCAGCAACAGTACTTCGGCCAAAGCCCCATCTTCGGCATGTCGAGCGGGCCCGACGAGTTCTTGATCAACCACTGTGGCGGACCCGCGTACCGTCATATGATGTAGTATGCCATCAATTAGAAAATAATCTCACCTGAAAAAAGGGGAAAAAACTTGTAGCTTGCTAATGCTAACTTAAATCAGTTCTTAGTTTCTGTTCAATTTTGGCCTTTTAGATGTAGATTGATAATGAGAGGGAAAAATGGGGGAGGGGAAAAAAAATGTACTTTTGATCTTGAGGCTGAAATTTTGATTTTTTTCGTTAAATTTTTGCGTTGACATGCTTGCCGAAATTGGCAAAGTTGGGCATCAATCCTCTTGAGATAACTCTTCCTATTTTTCTCATTCAATGGTTGGAAATTGATACACCTAATTGGCAGAGCAGGTGGTGGGGGAATTTGGACCGGTGTTGCGTCGCTTTTGTGATACCTATGCTAGGTTACTAGTCCCTTAGACATTGAATGAATCACTTAAGTCCGATCGCGAAACGATGCCAACGAACACTTACGAAGACAGCACAAGTTACTCGTAAGGAGGCGAGTATTTTCTTCATTTGGAATTTTTGTAGTAAAAGAGAAAAGACAGAGCGGCGAGAGGTATGATACAATACTATCGAATCGACTAGATCGATACAACGTGTATGCAATAGGGATTATCTCTCGATGATATTAATATGATAGAGTATCTAATTCATTTACAATAAGAGTCTGTAAACGATAATCAACAACAAGGCATATATAAATATGATCTTCGCTCGAAAATGTAAATAGCTACACTTGTCTAAATTCAAGATCGCGATAGGGTGCCCCCTTTTCGATATCAAGGGACAATGAACAATTTTTCTTTTTCTTTTTTTTTTGTACATGGACAATGAGCAAGTTACACTAGGAGAAGCATGGCCTTTTTGTCTCTCCTTTCTTCTTTAAAAGAGAAAAATCAACTCCTTCGTCAAGATAATAGAAGAAGCATGGATTTCAGTGACATCTGAACGTACCATTTGATGTCGAATGAGATGAAGTTTTGTGAAAACAATGTGGGAACAAATCGAGAAAAGGGTCGATAGAATCAATAATTAATTAAGAATATATACATATATATAATATATAAAATATATACTTTTTTATTGCGGAAATTTTGGCTGCTTGGCTTGCAAAATGGTGCCCGCAGAGAGGGCCATGTGGGAATGACAAATACAATAGAAAATTAGGTAATTGCATCGGGGTTGATATCGAATTGTCCACCCGATCCTCGACATTTGCCTCCTCCCTCATGGACCAACTTCATCATGTGACCTTTCATTTCATTTTTTTTCCTTATTTTTTTCATATAATGTTGGGCCACTTCATTATTATTATTATTATTATTATTTATCATTGCTATTGTATTGACCTTGATTCAATGCAATGTGTATAGTTCCTCGGTTATGTGATCAAGGGGGGGCCTTTTTCTTATACCGATGAGCTATTTAGTATTTAATCAAGGAGATTATCGTGGGGTCAAACATCTCTCGTATTATATGGGCATGGGCGAGCCGCGATTCTAGTGTCAAACTGTGTGCTAATGCAAGGCGTAACGATCTTTATTTTCACGATTTGTTTGGCTATAATCAACACTTTACAAGAAAGTCACAAATGTTTAGGTTCGTTCTAGCGATTTCACTAAAGAACTCTTTCTATTTCTTACCCTCTCTTCACATGCTATATGCCTCGTAATTTTGATATTAAGTATTTTGTATCTCATGAATGTACTTGCTTCGTAACATAAACCCTAAAGCAAAGGAGACGTTTCATTTGCCAAGCCACACAAAGATAAATATAAAAACTCTGTTATATTAAGTTCTTCTCTCTAGTATTTAATTCCTAGAAGGAGGGGTGACAAAAGCTAATTGTGCCTCCATTTGAGAGTCGAAAAAGTGGTACTTTTGTATGGGACCTAGTATAGATCTCAAGTACATTTTGACCTGTCAATAGCCTTTTTCTTTATTTTTTACTGCTCTACTGACCTAGACAAATCGAAATGAACCTTAGAAAACCGTCATTAGAGACCTTGAAAATCCGTTAGCTATGGTCATGTCACGTTTAGCAAGCTTAAATGAGCATTGGAGTAAAAAGAAATATCTCCAACCGGACCCTAAATCTTTCGAATGGGGGACTAAGTGCATATAAGATCATGATACATATCATGCATTTTTAAAATAAGAGATGCGGGATATCTGTAATATCAAGACGGCTTCGATAAGTTACGCGAAGGAAATAATTAGGTCAAACCTAGAGCTCAAATAGTCGGGAAATAGACCATTATGACACTTTCCATCCTCATGAACATCGGACCTTGCCCACGCGAAAACATTTCTTATTCTCAACATCAATTTTCTAATCGAGATTTGCGATTTGGTAAGCCTCATGGGTGAAGGGCAAATGAAGTTGGTGGGATGGGAAGAGGGCTTAGGACGCTCCTCAAATTCGAATTATCAGTGAATTTCGACCCTGGAGTGTAATTATCAAGAAAAAGAAGGCCTACTTTGAACGAAAAAAGAAAGGAAAAGAAGAAAGAAAAGTCAGAAAAAGCAGCCCCTCACCAACAAAGTACATGTTCCCATGCATAGATAGACTTAGTGTTGGGAGAGATCATGAGATGGGGACTCATGGCAGTACGTACTTACGCTTCGCTTGTCGACATGCATGGCTGCTCCTTTTCTTTTCTCTCGCAGCTTTGTTTCAGACAATTTTCATCAGCAAAATAGACAGAAAACCATGGATGTGTTGTCTCCATTGTACATATGACCATTATCTATCTGTCTTTCTATCATCCATGTTGGGTTTTGATCAGAAGATGCAATGATTCTTGTCTTGTTCCCTCCCTTTCTCCTTTGCACTCGATGGTATATTTGCTTTCTCTTCCCCCTTAAATAAAGCTTAACAGTTCTTCTATTTTCAGATATTTTGCTTTATTCTTTTTGATAGGACCCTCTTCTTTTAGTTACTTACTCATTGGTGATGGGAACTTCTCATTGGCATCTGACAGAGTATTGGAAGAGGGGGTAAGGAATGAGAATATAGTATTTCACATGATTGGAGCTATTGGCCTGGTGGGTCATTGGTTCTGAGCATACTATCTACTAGAGAAGTTTCTAACTCAAAGATGAAATCGCACCAATATAACATCTGAGCTTTTTTGTAAGAACATCTATAAATTTAATTGACAATAACAAAAACTCCAAAGGTAGGTTTCATGATGAAGTTGATAAATAAAAAAGTCGCGATATTAAGGAATGACTTAATGAGTTGATGGCCACATGACATTTACATGTAGGTTTTTCATCTTGTTTGATGAAGCAATATACATCTTTCGTTCTCTATGAGAGCAAATTCTCCTCGTAAGTTAAGCAAACTAAAAGCCCGATTTAATTTATATATGCCTATTTTGGAAGACTATAACCCCCTTTTTTCAAATATTTAGTGAAAAGGAAGAATATATAAGCAATGAGGATATATTTCTAGAGAAGCAAAACATCCTTTTGCATGTGCCCAAAAAAAAGAAGAAGAGAATAAGAAAAGGAACTTGCTGGAGTTTCCTCAATCAGAAAATTGAAACTTGAAAGCATCAAGATGGGATCCAAATAAGTTGCAAAATCCAAAAGGGAGCAAAAAAAGGAGGTAGATGGAGATAGCTGTAAATGAGAGGTGAAAGAACACCCACATGCCTCTGAGTGGGTGTTGAGCATCCACTGAACTGAGCATATGCATGAAGTAGAGTACGTCAGAAGAAAGAAAAAGAATACTAAAATGATTGTAATGGGCAAGTAATGGCAAAGAGACATGAATGGCCAATGCCCCAATTCTTTGTCTATCTTTTTCTTGTTATTGTTTATAACTTTGGCCCCAAAAGATTACAATAGTATAACAATTGGCTTGGGAAAAAGTTGCAGTCCCATATGAGCCCATTCACTGTCCTCCCTTCACGTGGGCTATGCACACAGGTAAACATTGCACATAGGATTAGGTTCTCCTGGTGGAGTGGGTAGAAAATCAATTCATCTGCCCAATTCCTATATTATACATTATACATGTATGAGTTCTTTTATCGGAATACATATAGAAGTCAAATTAGGGTAGATTAGGGCCAATAAACTTATAGTTTGTTAGAAAATCTAACTCAAATGTTAAGTTGATAGGTGGAGAAAGATGAGCAGGGTGGATGCACGAGCGAAATAAATCGGGGCAGAACTTTACTCTGATATCATGTTAGAAAGTTCAAACCAAAAGTTTAAACTGATAGGTGGAGAGAGACCACGTGTGTAAAAAGAGCATATAAATCCCATTGTCCAGTGACATGAGATATTTCAATTCTGTCTTTTGTTGTAAATTTGATCCAAAGAAAGGAAATCCGGAGAAGGGCCTAAATTACATTCAACCACTGCAGAAGATAGGAATAGCAAAAGTTTGTAAAATTCTATGTAGGCTGCGCGCGCGTTTGTTAGAAAAGCATCCGATAAGTTAATTGCAAGTTGAAAAGGTAAGTTCAGCAACCACCTCAGGATTAGCTAAAGAAGCACATGGCTAAGCAAAAAGCCAGTTGGGGCTACAGTGTTAGTTATCTCATAGGCTTCCCTTCGTATTCCTTTGTCTAGTCTTGTTGATTTGCTGTGTGTTTTGACCACCTCGGAATCAATCAAATGCATGTTACTTCCTTTGACCACCTCTGTGCACAGTTGCTGCTTATGCACTGGCCATGCGATAATGAGGAATGATATATTCCCTTTGTGCTATCAATGATTGCCATTATTTTGTGTTGTCTCTCTCCCTGCAACGAATCGTTATCAATAGGAGAAAAACATTATTCAATTCAAGAAGTAACGGTCAAATTATTCAGTGCTGCTCAATTTTACCCGAGAATGAGTCTTTTAGTATTTCTACGTGTTTGTGGAGCCATATGCGTCGTGTTTTGTTTATAGGGCCATTTGAGTCGAGAGTTCGTGTTCTTATGTATGTTTTGTCTAGGAAATGTGGGTCTTGTCTTGGAAAATAAAAGATGAAGTGTCTTGAAAGTTGCCTAGCTTGGAGGGTTGTTCCAAGTCGAGTCTATCCCGGGCCTTCTTGAGGGTTAGAGTGTTTTGATTAATAAGATACTAGATTTGACCTCTTGGATTAGAGTATTTCTAGATTCTGCATCTCTTTGGCAAACTTCATTGAGTAGTGATGTTATATGCCCTGTAGCCTAGAGTGGATTCCCGGGGTGACGAGCGTATATGTTGTCGTATTCGAATTTCCTTCTCAATCTTCGATAAAACCTCGTGCCATATCGCAATTCAAATAAGAGCATATCTCATTGCTGAGACCTAGTTCGGACCAAACAAACACCATCCATTCATATATACCCGCGACATGTCGATGACGTATGGACATCATTGACTACTTGTACGTTTTTTTTGGTTCAAGGTACTCAAGCAAAACCAGCCACAAGTTATTGTAATGGACTTGAAAAGGCATGGCGTGGGATGAGTTTACTTTATGAGCTATGACCCTTCACAGGGTCAATGAAGATGATGGCGAAGATGGAAGTGGTTGGGGAGAGGGCGCAAAGAGAGAGGGGCACGGGATGCGAGTGACAGGCCAGTTCTTATCGGCTTCTCAACCTCAATTTCCTCATCACCTAAAGTCAAATTGGCCCGTGAACATCATCATCAGCAAATAGAAACCCTTGCATCCATCCTAAGAAGTAATTGCAGCAAAGTCCTACATATAGTGGTAGAAGCCTCTAGGGTTTTGGGTGTGTGATGGGCTGTAGTGACCCGCTCTTAATGCCAATCGAGGGTCTTGGCGGGCTTGTGATTCCGCCGACATGGCCAGCCCTTGTTGCCCCATCGAGATGGAGCCTCGCACCTTGAGGCAAGGCCAGCTCAACCATGCCCGGGTACTTCTCTCCCGCCTCTTTTCAGTTCAAGTTCACTTCATCGTATATACACGTGCTTGTTCAGCAGCCCGTGCAAACTCTCACGCCCATCGCTACCTCGTTCGAGATTCGAGCCAATACACTTTGCGTGCGAGCCCCTATAGAGAGAACTTGAGTGCCGACTGAGCCGATCCCGCCTAGATTGAGATAGTCTTTCTTGCATAAAGAGTCATGTTTCTGTCTACTATTTGGTTAACACCGCATGGATGTCTCCTTTTGTTTGATAATAGAATACGGTCTGTTGATGGCTCTCTTTTAATTGAGCAGGAAGTTGCCGCGGACGTAATTCAAAAGATGGAACCAAATAAAGCCACGTCCATATTCACCGAGGCAAGTCTCAAACACTAAATCACTTGCATTCAATCTAGCACAAATAGTGAGAGAAATTATTTGGTGCATATTGAATGTGTATCATTATATATGATAGGAATCACGTGGAACCACCAGATTCAACGGTTCATATTCAGTTTAGCATGCGTGCTATACTTATTAAATACTTGCTCTAAAATGTGCCGAGGAGCATTCTGACTATCCAGTCTCAAACAGAGTGTCTGAACGAGGCGGCGATTGGCGTCGGGACTTCTATGCTCTTTTTTTTTTCTCTAAATCTCATCGGATTGAAATGACATGAAATGTTCGACCCTCGTAGGAATCAAAGCCAATTGAACCCACAAAGGACACGCGGCGATCAGCCGAGGACGGAGAGGAAGTCGACGGCGAGCTAATCGAGCCACGAAAGCAGGGGGCGGAATGTATGGAGAAACCTTGCCAGTGCTCGTGCGCGTCGGCATTGAGCGAATCTCCGGACCAACTCATGCTCAAGGAGCCTCTTTCAGCACCATTCTGATGCACCTGAACAGCCCTCCTTTCTTTCTGCTGCACTAGCCATTTCTGTAACTTGAATAATGAGTGTCTTGTTTGTATGTAAGGACGATCTTGTTGGACATGTTATTGTTTCAGACGATGCAATTGACTGTGATGCCCATTTGGCTGTTGAAAAGAGCTTTAATAATAACTATGTGGGTTCTTCACATTGTGGAAGTTTCCCATGGCAGAGAAAATTTGCTGAGTAGAAGGGGAAAAAAGAAATTAGATTATTTCAATAAAGATGATTATAATTCGAGTTTATTCTCCAAATATTACCGAATTTTAGCCTACCTTAATTTGCCATGCCAATATTACCGATTTTTTAACCTTTAAACTGGAAGTCTTAGAACTTCTCGCAAACGTGCAATTGAGTTCCAAAACCTACAAAAAGTGCAATCGAGTTTTAAAACTTATCAAATTGGTACAATCAAGTCCTTCGTTCAATTTGACTAAAGAAAAATGCTGACGTGATTTTTTTATTTTTTATTTTCTCTCTCCTTTATGGCATTGCTAAAATATGAAAGATAGACTAAAATGAAAGTTAGATAGAGCTAATAAAAAGACTTGATTACACTAATTTATCAAGTTTTATGATTCAATTGTACATTTTGTAAGTTTTACTGTTCGCCTTCACGATAAGAGTTAAGACTTTCGCTACACTTTTAAAAAATGTTCATCCAAATTCAACTAATATAATCATCAGACGATGACAAGGTACAGAGCACGTAAAATATGTGGAACCCTATGCGGACGGGCCTAATTCCCTAAAAAACCCCAAACTTTAGGTGTTGTCCCAAATCTATCCTAAACTTTTTTTTGTCTCATAAAAAACCACAAACTTTTATTTTAAACCCAAATCTGCCCTAGGTTGATTTTCTGTCCAAATGTTAACAATTTTTTTCCAACTTGTCATCCACGTGTCTATCTTCTTTTCCCACGTCAGCTTGGGTTGACTGTTTCTTTCTTTCTTTTTTGTTTTTTCATTCTCTTCTCCCTTTCACTTTCCGCCATGGACAACGAGAGCACCATCAAGAACACAGAGAAAGCCCAGGTGCTGCCACACGCTGGTCACCGCCGCAACAGCTTGCGTGCACGTTGCCACGACTTCCTCGTCACCTCGTCGTTATTGTAAGCCCAGACGCTTCCATTTGCCGAGCCTCCACCCACTCTATTTGCCGGTGGATAGTTGAATTTGGGATCAGGATGTCGGATCCAACGCCGCCACGCCCAGATTTGGAGTCGCCGGCAGTCGCCCAAGGCCGGCGACACCATCGTCGCTTTCAATCTTCACATTGCGACCTCTCCGTCTATCTCTGCGTTGGTCAGTCATTTGGGCCAAAATCTTCCCTTTTCTCTGTTTCTAATGAAACTCTAGCACTAAAATGGCGACCAGAGGTAGCAGATCGGAGAAGGTGAAGCGAATTTTCCAGCATTTGACGGGAACCGTGATGGAGGGCTCAACAGGGAGGAAATGGTCGCGCTCGCGGTGGCCGTGAACCCGAGGGTCAAGTTCAAGACCTAGGGCGAGTGCATTGACGGCGAGAAGGGGCTCACCTATGAGGGCTTGTTGAGGACCTACGATAACGGCACCGGCGACGTGGACCGCTACTTTAACAGGCTGGGCCTCGAGCTCAATTCCGCCGACGCCAAGAACAAGGAAGTGAGGTCGGGCTCGGACGAGGTGTCGTCGTCGATTGTTGACGAGAGGGCAATGGAGATGCAGAAGAAGCAGAGGACAGCAACTTGGGCTGGTGTCGCCTAACCATGGGGTGGCGTTTGCGGATGATTTGGAGATTTAGGTGAAGAGGTTGAAGGCGAAGGATGAAGAAGGTCAACGGCGGAAAGTGAAAGAGAGAAGATAATGAAAAAACAAAAAAGAAAGAAAGAAACAGTCAACCCAAGCTGACGTGGGAAAAGAAGATAGACACGTGGATGACAAGTTGGAAAAAAATTGTCAACGTTTGGACAGAAAATCAACCTAGGGCAGATTTGGGTTTAAAATAAAAGTTTGTGATTTTTTATGAGACAAAAAAAAGTTTAGGGTAGATTTGGGACAACACCTAAAGTTTGGGGTTTTTTAGGGAATTAGGCCTATGCGGACGTGTGTGGAAAAATTTAGCCAATAAAGATAACTTTGAAGTATAATGTTGATGCCTATGTGGACGTCCACATTGAGAAAATTTCATCCATGTCAAATTACGAGGTTATTTCAGTTGCATTTGTCCGGATTTGGTAGCGAAAAGACTGAATTAGAAAATTTATGAAATTTGAATGTTCAGACAAAATTAAACGCATAAGTAATTAATTAGAAAATGAGTGAGATTTTTCCTTTAAATTTCTAGTCAAAAAAGGCCCCCTTTTTTTCAAATTAAAGAATAATAAGGAAATTTATGCGTCGGAACGCGTCGTCCTCTTCATCGAGCTAGGGTTTCGAATTCCTCCTCTTCTCTCCACGAGGGGATTGCCGGAGAGTCGCCACTCCGGCGACCCAGATCGCCGCCCAACGCGCAATTCAGGTAATCCCCGGTGACCGCTTCCGCCTGATATCACGTGTGCACGGTCATCGCGCACAGTCCTTACGGTGCGCGATGATTCGCCATGAGTTCTTGAGCCTAGTACTTTGCGAGCAAGAACATATGTCAACTGCTGTCTGGTTGCTTTCATAAGCTGAGTTTGATCTTTTCGTATCGCGTAACGTCTTCATGGGAAGATGCCGGTCGTTTCCAAGCGACCCATTTCAGCGAGTGAAGTGAAAGTATCCTCAATTCGAGAGACCCTAGCTTCTTTGACCTTTTCGTTTGGCAATAACAAGATTCTAGACCCTAGCTCTCGTGGGTGGAGCTGATGTGTTAGCGTTCTTGTTCTAGTGGGTAATTTCTTTTTGGTTATTTTGGGATGCAAGCTAGACGTTGGACTGAATAACTTGCTGGTAATGCTCAGGGAAATTTTCTAGAGGCACCACAAGATGAGCAGTACAGTGCAGAGAACTCCCAGGTCGGGTGGACGATCGTTGTTTTTTCAAGATTTGGCGACTCCTGTTTCTGCCAGGAGGGGAAAGTTTTCGACCCCTGGCCAGGCTGCTGCAGTGTCTGCTCTCTGGCGAGAAAATTTTGGGGCTTCAGATCTTCCGCCGCCTCCCATTTACACCTTGGAAGATCGCTCTGATTTCTCGCCAGAATCTGGCATTCCCGACTATCCAATGTCCCCAGAGATCAAGTCAGACCCGAGAACCCCAGCTCAGAGCTCTGGCCGGGATTTCTCCACTCCTCTTAAAAATAAATCTGAGGCAAGCACTTCGTATGCGCTCAAGAGTGGGCAGCAAAACCAACAGGGTTTGGGGAATATGAATTGGTGGTCGCCTGCAAAGAGTCCTAGTGAGCCGGAGGATAAAGGGAAAGGTTCACCAGTTGAGGGTGTTGTTCAGCCTGGTGCACTCATCACTCTTCCACCTCCAAGGGAAGTTGCTAGGCCAGAGATGCAGAGAAATTGCTTGCCTGCAGGGAACCTCGATGAGGAAGAGTGGGTTACTGTTTATGGGTAATGTTCTCATTTCCTTCTTTTTTGAAATAAATTTCATTTAATTTCTAGGGATTGGATAACTGCCTTGATTTTGTCTTTGTATATCACATATTCCTTACAGTTGCCTAATCTTATTGTGGCTTGCTGCTGTTTCAGTCTTATGTCTTTGTGTGCTATAGTTGCCTTGTTGTTTGAGAACCTGATGGTAAATGGCACTGGGAGTGAATTTGAAGTACTTTCGAATTCCTTAGTTCCATCTTTGTAAATGATCTGGTGTGTGGTGCCGCATTTCTTTTTGCATTTACTCGAATTATATGTGGGCTTTGGCTCTTATTTGGTTATTATTGCCTCGTTTTTATGCACCTATGTATGATCTTTTTTCCAATTCATTGAGCTTTTGGTAGTTTTGCAGTCACCAGTCAATGATCGGATTGAATCAAAATATTTAGTGCAAAAATCACTCTGAAACTCCAATTATTGAAGCTTTTACATGATCCACTTCCAATGTCATGAAACTCCTTCGAGAATTTTCATTTGCTCTAGCTCGCAATCTTGACGTTCATTTTTTTCTACCATCCAAGAGTAGTTACTGGTAACTGTCATATAATCTCTCCAAGGTATCATTGCATCGTCAAGCTTGTTCACTAGATTTGCTGCCATGAGCAGAGTAGATGTTTTAGGCAATTTGTTCCTGTTGTTGCCGTCTGTGAAGAAATGGCATAATACACTTCTATCCTTTTTCCAGTATTTTACTTGAAATATGGAATTGAGCATAAACTGAATTAGCTTGAAGGGTGGTCTTAACTTAGAGGCATATGATGTTTTTGTTGAGCCAGCAGAGACTGCAAGTGTTATTCGGTTGCAAAAGTGTAGAAGAGACAGAGTGGCTGCTAGATTACTATACAGTAAAATGAGAGAAGTCAGAACTAGAATCTTTTTGCGGAGCTTTTCCGAAGTAAGTTTGGGAATAAGAGAATAGAAAGGACTGTGGATGTAGGTAGATCCTATCATCATTGCTCTCCATGGATTCTGATGTTTAAAAGTAAAGATCAACGAGAACCAATAAAGTGAGGAATTCTTGAGAAGATAGGAAAGCTTGTTTGTGTTCGGGACTGCTGGAATATGAATATAAAGGAATTGTTAAAGAAGAGACCAATGAGACTCCAGACTTTCAGGATTGTTCCATGTGGTGACTTGTGCAGGTGCATGATCTGGGAATCAATTTTAATCTGTTTCGTGATTACTCTTGGTTCAAGTTGCAAGCCTTGGTACTTGCTTCGGATAGGGATTCATTTGTGGATGGTAGCAATTAGGCTATGCCCCTGCTTTTTGCTGGAGACTTGCATAATGAAATTGTCATACATGCGCTTCAAATGCTAGCAGCATATTGCTCGAAAACTAGTGGTCCCGAGTTTCCTCTTTCCTTTTCTTAAAGGGTATTCTTGGGTACATTATAAGAGATATTTTTGTTTTCAGATTTTCTCCAGGTGATACCAATTCAGTACTGAGAGAGTTTGAAAAATGCGGTGTAATATTGAAACATATTCCTGGCCCAAGAGATGCAAACTGGATGCATATTCTTTATCAGGTTGGTTTCCCTATCAACTCATGTATTGGTAGCTCTGCCAATGATGTTTTTATTGCAGTTGTGATGCTTGCTTCTCCTGTGTGCAGAACCATGCTGATGCTCAGAAGGCACTCAACAAGAATGGGATGCAAATAAATGGTATACTTATTGTTGGTGTGAAGCCTGTCGACCCTATGCAACGGCAAGCTCTGAATGAGAGACTCAACAATCAAGGCTTCATGCCATTGCCTCCACCAACTAGTAGAAGTACAGATTTGGTTCCTCATAGATCATCTCCTCACCCATACTATCTCCAAAATGGCACTTCTAGCAAGAATCAGTCAGGAGGTGCCATTGCTTCGCCTGCCAAGTCTGTGGTTTCCAAAATAATGGATTTGATGTTTGGGGTTTAGGCAAGCAACACTGCTCACTCGAATGGTCTAGGCAGCACCTGTCAACAGTTTGAGTGATCCATTCATCTGGGAAGAGATTTTGAATTTTTTACTTTCTTTTTCTCCTTTTCTGTTATTGCTTTTTCGGTGAATGTGCCTGTATACTGCAGAGCTGCGATCCAAAGGTCGAACGAGGTTTTGTTCTTTAATTGGAGGCAATCAGAAGATACAAAACATGGACAATGTTCTATTGTACCTCCTTTTACATTGTGGAAGCCTCTACCTATATGCCATTGTTATTAGCCAGATATTGAAGGGTTTTTACTCTCTTGGACATTCCAAAGGAATATATGCAATTTCGACATAAGAACCCTTTGCATCAAGATTGACAGGATCATGTCTTTTACAAATTTATAGACTCACCAATACCAACTTTTGTTTAAACAGGTGCAAAATTTCATGAACAAGCATGTTCATGGATGCGCCACAAAGATTGCTTCAGACGGGAAGATACAGTCGAAACACTTTTTAGATGCCAATGTCAATAAGCTAGTAATGAATAAATGAGATCTCAGCTATCGTAACCACAAAGGAAACGTGACAGCTTGTTATTCCAAATTAAAAGATCTACGCATAGGCATCACAAGTAAAAGGTGGTAACTGGTAAGCGCGACCCTGTATTTCTCGTTATGAAGAACAAGTCTAAATTTCCAAGCAATCGAAAAGATGGTTGCACCTAAATTCTGCATATGTTGTGGCTTAACATGGAATCACAGGTGTGGATCAATCAAGGATGAGAAGATGTCTTTATTGACTGCCATACTCAAATTACATCTATACCGCAATTCTGGTGAAGATACAAGAATACGAAAATGAAGAGAAAAAGTATAGAGACGACAAGAATAGAAGGCAAAAAAGAAAGCCGAAGTGAAGGAGATAAATAAAACAATTCACTCGCTAAGTATGCCGCATAAATGAAGCTGCAATTATTAGCCGCTTTACAGCTTTGGAAACTGACAGATCCACATCCACTCTCCAATCTGGTCTTTACAATCACGAGCATGAAAATTACACTTATCAATGAGCTGCAGCTTTGATAGATGATGGCGTCCGCTTTTCCCGCCCAATGTTTATTCCAGGAACCATCTTCAGACCAAACATCTGTTTCTTTGTTTGTGTAGACTTGCTATGGTTATATCCCACATAAAAAGTAAATCATGAGCTGAAAAGATCTAAACCACCCTCTTTGGATCACGAGAAGCTGCAAGATGGTCCTGCAACACAATGGCAGTCGAAGTGAGTACTAATCGTGACAGCATTTCCTATCCGAGTTCATCAGTGATGAACAACAGAAAGCCAGTAAAAATCATGAATGCAAAGAGTTAAATCACTCAATGTTTGAAAGTCTGGACTTACAGAGATGAAATCAAATGCTCTGGTTTCCTCTTTCTTGGAATTGTTCACCACCGAAGTTGGAGCCTGATTCAGAAAGTTTGGCTGGAATACATCGGGAAAAGGAGACGGATGACTACCTTTATCTCCAGCAACATAAGTAATACCACCATTCTGAGAATTGAGGTTTCCTAGGTGTTGCAAGTTTGACATGGTTGCCAGATATTGCTGCTGAGCAACAAACATATTTGCCATGTTGCTGTAACCTAAGGACTGAGACGGCATATTGAACAACATGCCTGGAGGTACATTATTTGGCATGCCGTTAAAAGGAAACATGGCACTTCCACCCATTCCTGTGTTTTGGTAATTAAGCACATTGCTTACTGCACCATTAGAAGATTGATGAGCAGGATATCTCTCACTTACTGACATAACATCTAGCAAAGTTGCCCCGGATATGGCTGCATTCTCCTGAATATTGGAGTCATTACCATTAATGGACAAGCCAGCCATTATATCATTGACACGATCTGTAGGATTTTCGTTTCCTTGAGAATCTCCGGAACTGGGTTGAAAAATATCAATCAACTCAGATCCATATCTATTTGCCTTCGTAGGATCTCCTTTAACATCATTCTTATCACTAACAGTCATACCAGCAAAAATGTCGTCTGCAGGTTCACCACCCTTAACAGAATGGAACAAAACATCAGCAAAAGGATCATTGTTAGTTTTTATATCACTTGCGTTCCCACCAGAGCCCATGTCATCTCCAAGCAAATTATCAATAAGAGGTCCTGTATGTGATGTCAGATTGCCAGCCTTCTGCTCACTTTGCTTCCCTGAGTAGTCATTTACCCCACCAGATTCATCGGCATCACCCGTGTCTATCAGGTCAGGCATCTGAATAACATTATCTGTCTCAGATTTAACAAATTTTTGTGAATCAGCTCCGGTACCAAGGGTCTGTTCTCTATCCAGAAGGCCTAAGACCTATCAATATCACAAGAAAAGATCTTATACACTTCATCAAGCAAACATATCGCAGATGACCACATCTGTAGTGTTAGGAGAAACACTCCATTTCTCAGAGTAGAAAGCAGAAAAGATTACATTATGGTTAAACAGGTCACCAAGCTCCCCTAGACAAATTTGTCATAGACAAAGGAGAAATAATTGAGACTCATGATAAACCTATAACCTATGTTCTCAAACTATTATCTCCCAGTCAATAGTTAGACCTATATTAATAGGAGCTGCAAGGATCACCAAGTAAACCACAATATATACAAGGCTGAAGCTAATTTTTACTTCACCTGTATCAAAGGAAAGGATCATTCCCCGGTAGATTTCCTTGGATACATGTTCAAAGGACTAAGGGGGCTTACCTTCATAGATTTATCTCTCAATGAAGCTTGCGGAGACTCGGAACATCTCACCAGAACATCAACATTCTCACAAAAATAAGATGCTATAACCGAGAAGTGCTCATCATTCTTTTTCCTTAAAATTGAATCTAGCACACAGAGAGCCTTCATTCGGACCTGACAAAAGAATATTTAATTATGAGGAAACTGAAAAGGGAATAAGAAGCATTGTATTAAACTCACACGATAAACACACATGAACAACCAAGTGGTAGATCTCCTCACTGAATCAAGGAGACAGGAATTTTTGGACACTATTGTTTTGTCCGTGACTGATGTATGGAAAAGATAAGAAAAAGATACTGCCAGAGGCCACATGTTCTGTTGGGTCGATCGTAACCAAAGTACCTCTATAATTACACGGAGTAAAAGTAAAATTCGAAGGCATCCACCCCTACATCATATTGGGCAGTCATCTCTTCCAATCTGAAATATTGAAGTCTGAAGGATCATACCTGCCACTGTGGGGACTGCAGCTTTGATTCAAGGGCCCAGCTTAAAGCCATTGCATCCAACTTTGCAGCCTCCACAAGGAATGCTTGAATGGCATCTCGAGTTGGTTGTAGACGTACTCCACCTGATGTCACAATGGTGTCCAGCAAGCGTTCCTCACGTGTCTTCTCTGTATGATTTGAACTGGAATCTCCAGTCGCTAGTTCTGTTTTTGCTCCTCTTGAATCTAACTTTGAGGATCCGCCGGGCTGACTATTTGATATCCCAAAAGTAATTGAGTTTTCACCATGAATTCGAACTGGTTCATACACATTAGAGTCACCGCTTTCTATTGTCAAAGACCTATGGAGGTTGGGACTCTTGTAGCTTCCACTGTCATTCCTTCCGAACGAGTGACTTTGAGTGAAGCTACTGAGTCCCTGCTTAATAGAAGCACTCCCTAAGCCAACTACCTCACTAAGAAATGATTTTTTATCTTCTGACGGCATTGCAAAATTTGTACTCCCAAATCCTTCTATTCTTGTATTCCCAAATCCTTCTATTCTTCTGTTGACACTTTCAGCTGGAGCTGGTTTATTTTCCTGTTCACTGAAGATGGCAGCTAGAGCCTCCTGAGCCATGTCACGCACAGCTTTATTCAAAGCATCCCCCTTCAAAGGATCTGGCTGACCCTTGTAATGAATCAACTGCCGAACAGCCACAGACTGTCTTTGCATTTCCCTCCGAAACTCCACACCAGACTTTCCAACAGCATACTTGATCAACCTAAGAGCCTGAAAAGAATCTCACACTAGTATCACAATGTCCTAACATATAAACTTGGAAAAAAGCGGACACACATCTGACAAACCAAGAGTGGTTCTAGCATTATACACATGTCGGATCTCTATACTTCTGTCTCTGGGAAGCCCAACAATGGACTAAATAAATGAATGCCACAACTTGGAGTAGCATGAACTCCACATAGTACAATTACTGTAGACATACGGTGGGAATTTTCTAGAATGATAGACACCATTTATACATAAGCATCAGTTGCTGACAAAATGAGACCTCTACATATCCATTTAATATGCCAGATACTCCTCAACAGAAAGCTTCACATATGCAGAATTTGTATGCTGGAGTATCAAAGAACCAGGATCAATCTGCACAATCAAAATTGAGATCGCCCCTAGACAACATGAACAACCAAGCACCAAGAGCTAAAACTACGCTTCCTTTAAAGTACTGCATGAGCACAAAGTGACTTTACATAGATTATCTAAGTCCATGGCCTACTAATGCATAATCAAGTTAGGATTACTAACCAAATGACCTTGATCCCACCAATTCTCACTACTCGTCTATAAATGAGAACATCCCCTTGCTGACCCCCATGATACTGATAGGGCCCGCAATTTGATTGACGAGCAGACTTTACACTAAACTTGAAAAAGGGGTTGCTCCTTTGATGCTCTGTAATGATATTATACTTTCACTGATCAAAAGAGAAAGCTATAGATAGAGTTGGCAGCAGTTGCCAATCAACCGCATTCCAAAATCTTCAAAGTGCACCCAAATAACATATAATCACACCGCTAAATTTTTAGCCTGATCAGCTACAGAGCAATGGAACAAGACCGGGTCGAACTAGCTTAAACCAAAAATTCGATCTTTAATTGTGGTAGTAGCATAAGGGGAAGGCAAAAACCAATCAAAATACTGATCAACAGTTCTCACAAGCTTCTTCAGCAGCTCCAACTCGCCAAAAGAAATTAGAAATGAGAGAGAGAGAGAGACGTGGAAACTTTATTCCAAACCCTACCTTCTGCTTGACGATGGGGCTCTTGTGATCGAGCCGCTTGAGCACGAACTCCGACACCTCCTTGACGATGCTGGCGTGAGAGGACCGCAAGAGCTCGCAGATTTCCTCCAATTTGTAGACGGGCGCGACCTTGTCCTCGTTGGAGGTGGCGGCATCGATAATCCGCGACCTCCAGTACGATTCCACCGCCCTCCTGCTCGAATCCATCGCCGGACCGTGGGGGGCCGAGCCGCCGCGAAGAACGCAAAACCCAAGAAACGGAGGAAGATCTTATCGCCGAAGCGAGCGAGGACAGGTCCGATTCGAAGCCAAGGCGAGCAGAGCAAGCAGAGCCCGAGCCTCGACGAATTCGATGGTTCGAGAGCACGAATTCTAGGGTTTTCGTCGAAGGGAAGAATCGAATGCTGGTGGGGCGATCAGAGAGAGAGAGAGAGAGGTTTTGGTTTTGCGTTGAAAGTTCGGTCTTTTAATTCACCGGTGCCAGATTTTGCAGTTGCAGATGAACTAGGACAAGAACAACTGAACGAGGGGGAAATTCTGGTACATTACCGTCGTATTATTATTTTCTCCGAACCGGTTCGACCCGAATATGACCCGGTTCAGATCCCGGGTCCGGGTTCTCGGGTCCCGCCTCAGGATCTCGTTTGCATATCAAATTAATACGAAATTTCAAAAAAAATTTATCGAATTAGTTAGTTCAAACAAATGATCCAAGGGCAAAATCGCCAAGCCCTCTCAAGAACAACTCCATGTGGGAAGGTGAAAAAAAGAAGACAAGCAAGGAACAGTTTTGAGCATGTTTTGTGCTGCTATGGTATTTATTGATTTGAGGGTACAGATACAATTTGTAAGAGACTTGCAAGGCAGCGCTAGTGTAACTGCGAAAGAATGGCACGGCGGCTCCTATCACTTCCATCACGGAGCTAAGCTAACAGAATCTCTAGTATCGTCCGACTCGTCGACGATCATCTCGTTCCAAAATAGCATTTTCAAGTAGGGGAGGACTTTCGGGAGCACGGGCAGATCCGCGATGTTTATGCTCATCAGGTCGAAGGCGATGCAGGTTTTGTGCATGTACGCCTCGTCGAACACGGGGATCTTCGGGTATCTTTGGCTGAAGTGGGTGAGGACGATGCGGTACACGCCCGCCAAGGCGCCCACCTGGATGGCCTCCTCCGTCGTGCTGTGGTTTCTCGCAATGGCCTCATCCACCATGCTATCCTCAAAAGTTGCCTGCAATGAAGAGCACCAACGATTTCATCATCTTTCAAATGAGAGTGGGATCCACCAGCACGCACCATTCCTCTAGAGTACAGCATCTTCGTGAGTGACTTTTTACAGGAACCATTTTCCAAGCATCAAATAAACAGGGTAACGCTAAGGTTGCCTCGTCGAGTTTAGATTTTAGAAGGCTCATGTGTACGACATAGAACTGAAGGTTTGAAACCTATCATTTTTGGTTCGTAATGCTCCTTACCAAGTTGACGTAGTCTGTACCAGAAGCACTCAAATCAACATTCAGATCTCTTAAAATCGAGACAGACATCACATAGATCCACACCCATCATCTTGAAGCAATACGAGGAAAAACCTACTACGAAGAGCAATTCTAATAAGACCCCTGAAAAGGTGTAAAAAGATCATATCAAATTTACCTCATGTATTAGGACAGTGGCTCCCCTAGATGCCTCTGTTAATTCAGGGCAGGGTCTTGTGTCACCGGAATACACAATCTTCCACCCTTCTATCAACTTCCCATCAGAATTTAGTCTCTCCAACGCCTTCAGGACAACACCAAATGCCTGTGGACAGTGCACAACAGGAAAACTAACCAAGGCCTCCAAACCCGCTTCTTTGAGCATCTTCTTCATATTCTGCAAAACTGGAAAAGCAACACTGATGTCTGGTGGACTACCAGGTCGTTTCCAAAAACTCTGCATAGGAGCTCCCCTCGCAAACAATGTTGAATCAGCACCATTTGTCCTTGACCTATTTGTAATTTCTCTCGAGCCATCGTGTGAATTTGAACTTTCTGCAGAAGACTGGTCCATGCTTGACTCACTAGCTTCCTGAAAAACATTTAAAGACGCTTCCGTGGTGTTCCTACAATCCAGGAACTGCATGTCCAGATCTTCAAGTCTTTGGTACGCATCAAGATATCTCTTGAGTTGCCTAGGCCCAATCACAAGCAATGGCTCATGAGGCACTCCTTTCAACAGATCACGTCGTTGAGCAAGTATTCTAGCCAAACCGGAATGGTGATCAGCATGAATGTGAGAGATCCAAATGCATCTAAGACCTTTCATGGCATCGTCAGCACCCCCTACTCCAAACCTATTTTTCAAGGAAATTAACATCACCATAAGCAAGAAATTCAAATCCTTCAAAATGAACATAGCAACTCAATAAGATAAAGTAACTAGTATGTACCTTCGTTTCATTTGCCCCAAGGTTCCCTCCCCGCAATCCAGAAGCAAACCTCCTTTGGCGAAAAGATTGATATAAATTGAACTGACATTCCTATATTTAGATGGCTGTGACGAACCGGTCCCCAAAAGAACAATCTCCAAGTCATCTCTCCTTATATTTTCCAAACAATTGGGAAGGTTATTCTCACTCAACCATGGCTCCTCTTGCATAAACCTTCTCTCCTCCCCCATTTCACCAGTCTCATTCCAAAAATCGTGGACGTGCTGTGCAGCCTCCGCAATGTCTGGGATCTCAGTGTGCAACTCATCCATTATGTTTGAGTGAACCATCTTATTCGGAACATAGGATCTGTCTAATCCAATCTTATCTCTGGGGCGCAACGTGAACTGTTCAGGGGAGAGAGAGAGAGAGAGAGAGAGTTATCAATTGACAATATTGAAAACAGGGGGAAATTCTCATTAAGAAAGTCTATGACACTGAACCATCCACGTGCTGCCAACACCATGGGAAATTGTCTATCTGTCAGATTATTAGAGAGTTCTAACGATTCTTGACCTAAGGAACTTGATACCAATGTTCCCTTGAAGATGGTCATGCCCATCAAAACTCGTGATAATATCTATTATGACTATTTGTGTTCCCATCATGGTTGCATGATAACTCAGCAATGATTCTGATAAAATCTCCACAAAAAAAAAAAAAAAAATTACATTACCACCTACATCTCAAGTATCAGACGACTACTTTCGACACTAGACAAGAGGGAAGATAGAGTCGATTCCACTGAAGCTGAGCAGATTAAGTAAAAGCTGATTACTCATGAGAAATAGCTCAGAGATTTCAAATGAAGGAAAGAAAACCATGCCAACAATAAAGTATAAAGTGCAAAGAATTGAAGGTCTTATGATGATAGCCTTTTATACCTTGAGGAGATTTTCAGCAGAAATTCTTTGACAAGAGAGAGAAGTACCCTGTCAGAAGAAAAACCAGAAATGTCTTCTTAGCATCCTCCGGATAAAATGTAATCCCAAGGTCCAAATGCCAAGAATCGAAATAAAAAAGTTGCCCCTTAGATGTAACTGCACACCTCACTTAAATGGACAGAGTCAGGTGCCAACAAACAGGATTGCTCGAGAGACCAAAAACCTGAAGCTGGAAACAACTGAGGACACAAATAATTAAGTCGTGCAGCAATCCTCGAACTAGAACACAGGATTGGAATCTCTATATTCTTCCTGCAAAGAATGGAAGACAAATAGAGAGTAATTTATTAACTCATAAAATAAAAGTAACACGATTTCTCCAAAGAGTGGATGTGTGATAAATGCTCACATCTCATGTCCAGCAATAATATGTTGCGCTGAACCAAACCTCTTCATCCAATTCTTATAATCTGGACTACTCACAATCGAGGCTGGACTCAAATGGATGACACATGTCACAGTCTTTTGAGTCTCTTTGCCCAAGAAGTCAGCATAGTAATCATTGAGGGAACCTAAGGAAGATAATCTCTGTAAATGAGATTGAGTTGGGCAATCAACAATGAGCACGACGGGACCAGGGATAGAAGGATCCATCACATCACTGGGATGAACCTACAGGATTAGCAAAAGGAATCGTTACACAAAAAAGTCGCGAACTTCAATTACACTCGAAGGATACGCAATAGCTATTCTTTCATTCCTTTTGAACCCCACCGTGATATTTAGCCGTTTTGAGAAAACAGACTTCCCAACTTGCAGCTCCCGGTATTCTGGCCCAGGTCTCAGGCCCTTCTCCTTTGCTCTCTCTGGATGAAACCTCCCCTTAAGTTCAGGCAACTCACAAACATAGACAACAGACATGTCACCGGGCCTCATTGCACAGTAAACACCATTATTTTGACCAGACTCTTCTGGCCACAGGAGAACAGCCGATATTTTGACAACATCATCATCAACAAGAATGATAGGGTCAGCAAATTGATTTAAATCACGAATAGCAGCCGCATCAGAAATTGGAGCAGGGCCAAAGCTTTTTGTGTGAACCATTGCTGCATTTGGGATGAAAGACTTCATAGCATCAACTAAATATTTAAGATCTGACGGACCCCAAACATTAACCTTCAAAACATGAAACAAAGTTCTCTTCTTACTAAAAATTGATATTTGAGAAGAACATTGATACCGTAAAGCCAATTTCACACTTACCGACATTCCTTCGTCTCCAATCCCAGCCAGTGTTAATAGCAACCCTGTCGAACGATCAAAAGTCAGCGGTTCTTTGGATGACAGACAGATGTAATATGATTAACTACGGAATGAACTCATTACATCTCTGATATATAAGAATAATTGCATGAGAGCAATGTCATATCATAATTAATAAAGATGCAAACCTGGAAGTCCGCCTGAAGTCTCAGAGCACACGCGAGAGAGAAATATATGATCTATCTGAAAATCAGAGACGGACTCAGATTTTCCTTCATTGCAAATCCCACCGAGAGCATAAGGGTGAAATTATCTGAGACTTTAACATACCTTTGACAGCTTAATCTTATGCTCTGTGCAAAACCTTTGCAACCCCTGCAAAGGCACTGACATGTTAAGTACCATAATAATCTTAAGGTGCCTGTTGATATTGAACAATTTAACTGGGAGAAGTGTAAATGGTCAACGTACAGTTGAAAAAATCACACTGCTAAATAAAGATACAAAAGTTACAGTAATGGATCGTATTAAAGAAAAATCAAACCAGACAAATCAATGCATGAAGCTTCTAAATAGTGTTGCTTCTGGCCTTACCTCTCCAGCATTAAAAATAAATCTCTGGTGATCAAAGAAAAGCAGGAC